TATTTCTCTATGGGTGATTTATGGCGATATGCAACTAGACAATAGGAGCATTTTGACTTATGATCCAGCCGGAGCAGGTTTCACTACCCTTTGAGACTTGAAACAAACCCTTTGGAAACGGGGTAATAAAATTTTATTATTATATTTGCAAAACCGAATGGCATTCTCGTGCGCCCCGTAGCGTATTGCTAAAGCTCAACCAGTCCAATTAGTCATGTCTTCGAACTTCAGACAAAAAACCTATATTTATTGGTCGAAACAAAAAATGACACTTTTGGATTCAGATTTATGATGGATTGATCGCAGCCGAGTGCCATAAAACGAAGATATCATTCTTGTTATCGAGAGCCTTTCGACGTCTATATTTTGTCAAGACAGACACACATCTGTGTTTGTTTCAGCGGATCAATTTTATTTTCAGGCAAACAGTTGATGGGATTTTTAACCTAAATTATGCGAGTGAGAGGGTATTTTTCCCCGGGAATCAAACAGGACTGCGCTTTTTCCAATAATTGAACGACTGAATCACGGACACGGCAAAGTTGAAATGATTTAAACATAATATTCAGGCATTTCTATTATACTTTAACACAACAAATATATTTTGTATTAATTAACTCCTAAAAGTAAGTCCTTTACTAGTTAGTTTAGTTTATCACACTAATATCGATTTAATGTTAGTATTGAAGAGATCATATTATTTAGGATGTGGTATTGCGGCGCACGTGCGTCTCTTAGATATTTGATATTACATTATACTATTTCTAGACGGGAGTGTCGCTGAGATGCGCGCGAGTGCATTTAAATGGTGCATGGAGATATTTAACGTTGACTAACGTCTAGTGTAAGTCTGCCCCACTTACGTAGGTTCATCATATAATCATATAATTAAAAACGATTTGTGTTTCGCTATTGGCTAGAATTTGAAATGTATGTGTTTCAATTAAAAAACCTTAAAATAAACTACACGACAGTCCCTAAACTCTCTTGTTTTTTAAATTCTATTGTTATCATATTTTTTTCAATTTATCTTAGTTTTATAAAACTGTTTTTAATTATTATGTTGTCATAAGTTTCTGCCTCGTCACGGTGTTGTCGCCTAAGTGACTCCCGTGTCATTGTCTCCTGCGGTTTTCAACAATCACCATATCGCCGTACAACAACATAACTTGTTTCTAATAAATAAGTGAAAGTGATATTCACCTCGTACCAGCCGCCTTTGTCGTCTCAAATCACCATCTTTGTTATGCTAATGCGCAACATTTTTACAGCTTTTCTGCAAAAGGGCTGACGCGAACGTATTGTTAGATAATAAATGCCCCAAATGCATGTGGAATATTCTCGGAATAGTTTTTTTTTGTATAATACGAAGTAACACGACGAGTGTCGGTGAAACCCAAAGAGACATAGTTATTGTTGGGCAATATGTCGACCGGTGCTTTGTGATCGGGGCTGTGTCCAAGAGTCGAGGCCTGCACGAGCGGTGGCGTCTAATGAGCAACCGTGTTCGCCTCAATTGCACACAGCTCTCTTATTCACTGGCAATTTATTTCATTTTTGCTTCTGATCGCGCCTTATGGAGCGCCTTTTTATCTTTTTGCCGTCGTGGGTCTATAATACCCGTCCTGTTACTTGCAAATGAGACGCACAAGTAACGCGCCGGGTTCGCCCGGTCATCACGTACGAACATAGGAATAATTAAAATTTCTATCTCATTATTTATTTGCATTGTTCGTTAAATTCCGTGGGAATCGTTGAATTGTCTCGTTTATAACGTGGATTATGTTTCACACTACATTTTTAGGCTCCGTTCTGTAAATCAAAGAGTTCATTGGACAATGCTGACATTTATGTCCCGAGGAGTTATGGCTTATTGAGGATATGAAGACATTTGCCAAGGCAATACTGATATGAGTTGGGGCATCATTTAAATAATAACAATTTTTGAAGTCGTGCCAGTTCGCTGTCGGCGAAAAATAGTTGGTCGGAATAACAATGATATTGAGATATGAATGCACGGATCTTTATTTACAAGAATTATGTGTTGATCTACATCTGTAGTTGTACTAGGAATAACCTTTCGAAACATTATTAAAATAAATATTCAAATCTAAGATGGCGACGTGATTTTTGCTTGTTTTTGTAAGGTTTTATTGCGTTCCGAACACTAGGGTAGAATCGTAAATTAAATAAAAGATCCATCAGTTCGGGAAGGAGTAAATCAAGACGGACGGATTGCCCCTAATAAAAATTATAAGAGGCACAATGGCTCGAATGTGCGCTGAGATCGTCAGGAGCTGTAAACTCTCGCTATGTTTGTTTATGAGCCACTAAAATATATCATAAACTAGATAAGTATAATCTAAATAAACTAACATGATATAATTAGTGCTATGAATCTCGAGTTTATTCTTATCGAGGCGGTTTAAAATGGATTAAATGTAACAATCAACGTCATCATGTAATTAACGAAGAAATATTGTTAAAAATTTGCTTTGAAAAGTTAAACAAAATTTCAAAAAAGTTAACAACGCCACGTAAGATCCACCCCTCTTAATGTAAAGTATAGAAAAAAACTAACTTTCTAGTTAAAATGTTTGTAATAACATTTTAAAACTAAATCTTTAATCTAATTAACGTTGTCTTGGATTTATAGCACCGCCATTTGCAAATTTTTTGCAGCGAATATTATTACGAGATCATAAATCCAACATGGCGGAGTTTGAATAAGAGATCGTTAATTACAATAGAAGGGTTTGCTTTATAATAATTCTGAGTAAGAGCAAGGAATATTTCTTTGTTCGAACAACCAATGGAGCGGTTCGACGTCGACGTGTGTTGAGCTTTTTGTGATCTTATTATATTTTTTGGTGGCATTTTTTTGATGATCTTATTTGTTGGTTCAAGACTCGGTCGTAAATTTGTCGTGATGTATGAGAACGAATGAAGTTATGCAGCATGCAGGTGCGATAACCCTTTTCGGCTGTCGTCCTCTTCATTTGATTTTCAATTTCTACTCATAAAAATAGCATATGTAAGAAATCCAAGCAAAGGGCCGACACAATTCTATGGCCAATTAAATTATTTATTTAACAACTTACCATTGAGCTGTTTGTTGTGTTTATACTTATATATACATATATATTAACGACGTGGCTATAAAAAGTTAATTTACAATAAAAGTAGGTCTGTTTCTTTTCTAATTGAATACACCTCGATAGATTTAAAATGCGAGTCGGTACTATCTATTTTCAACGTAAATTAATTTTGTATTTAGAGGATGCCCCATTTATTACATTCACAAATGTAAATGAACGCTTTCGAGTTACTCGTTTACGTGAGAATATTTGTATTTATTTTATTTATGGAGAGTCGAGGGCGATGCGTTTAAATATCTCGGGGATTTCAATTCGAGTTCAGTCGAATTTGTCAAGAATTCATTAGATTATTACTATTGATTAATTTATTTATATACTTGTATTGTAAGTACCTTCCGACCCGTTCTTAATTTAAAATAATGTATATTTAGAATTCGAATTGCGATAGTAAATACAGGTTTAAATTCGATAACAATTCATTTCGGTTTTATGTAGCGAATAAGGCCGTACGGACAGACGTGAGCCAGTGAGACAGATTCCCAGCCCTATAACATTTAAAATTATGTGCTTGAACCAGCCTAATTAAGGTGTGCTGTCAATACATTTTTGCTCTGGAGATTTGCGAATCTTCAGACTGAAACCGAAACGGGAATTAACTTCACGACTTTTTCTCTTGGACGGTGTTTTGTGACCCGAACGGAATTACGACATTCCTTCCACCTATTTAATTTTTAATCCAATATTTTGCAGAAAAATGATAACTTTGGAGCTCGACCCCACTAATTATTGATTATTAGCATTGCTAACATTAGCCCTACGGCCGTTTTGGTAAAATGGTAGTGTTAAATACTTATTTATAAGTAATCATCATCTAGTATTGTTAGTAAAATTACTAGTAGGTATGTCCAAGCTAAACGTAGATGAAATATATATTTTTTAGTAAATAATGAATTTTGTAAGCATATGCCACATTCCCGTGTTGGGAGTCATTTAAAATGAAGGTGAATTACGGCTTTATAAGATGTTCTTTCTGATGTCAACTTTAAAATTTAATGCTGTGAATTATCGTCAGTGTATTCGTGACGATTACACGCGCGCTAACGAATTTATGTTTCGCTTGTCTTTTGCGAGAATCATAACGTCTGAATACAGTATTTTTGGATCTTTATTTGATTATAAACGAACCGCGAATGGGGATTTCGAGGACAGTTATAAAGCGTGATAATGAAGAAAGCGATACATTAAAAAACAATGTTCGATAAAGTTCTTCACTTTCATCGCTGTGTGATTTGGATTTTTATATTGTTGCGTACTTGCGTAGGTATTATATATTATTATCTTAGGTGAGTTAAATATCGAGAAACATTCTTAAATTAATTTAATTCATATATCTTTAGTTACCTTTAGACATGCTACACCTAATCACCTTCCTACTTAAATGTAGAAGGTCGATAACGTTCTACTTATTTTTTCGACTGCAGACAGTTATTTCATATAAATTAATGGCGCGAGTCGTCATGGCGCAGACGCCGTCTTCTATTTTTAAACTGACGAATGAGACTGGCCGAGCGCACACGTATGCGTTCCGTCATATTCCAATTAGAAATAGCTGTCATCGTTTCAGCGTTTTTTCAAAATCAGAAATTCTTTTTTTAAACTTAACGTAAAACGATAAACGAAGTAGTTCATTTCGGGATCTCTATTTCATGAATATAAACTTTACCTCCCGCAGTGTTGTAACACGGCAGTATCGGCGAGTGCCAATGAAAAGCGGTTTTCACGTAGGTATAATTTTAGCGTCGCTCATAAATTTAAAATTATGAATTATGAAATGTCGGGCGCTAGCGTCTCTCTTCCTCCCAAGATATTAACGAACGAGTGAATGAGACGCAGAGCGGCGCGCTACCTCGGCGTCGTCGGCTTCAGAAGGGTTATTATATATGAATTATGATGACGCCGCAGCACCGCCGCGGTAATATCGTTATGAATATGCCGAGCTCTCTTCGCCCATTGGTGGAACGAATAAACGTCTCGATTCAGCGGGAACGCCTCCGGTGGTCGTTTTTTTATTTCTTTATTGACATTCAGATATGCACATTGCAAGTGGCGATGCACAAACTGTAATATTTTGCCGGGAAGAGATAAGTTGGGCGGGCGAACGGTCGCAACGAACATTTGGGATGCAAATACGGCAGACTGTCGTATGCAAACGAACTTATGCTACTCATGCGGCATAGACCCACTCAGACGTTTCCTGCATTATATCAATTTACATATCGGTTGAGATACTTAAGTATATCTATATGACATCATAGACATAATATTTATTTACTAAGTAAAAGTAAATTAGGTAATATTGTGTATATATAATACATAATTACAATCTGGTTGGTCTGCTCTGTCAAACACAGATATATGTTCGTCCCAAGGGAAGTCGAGTTTCATACCTACAACAATATTAATACCTAATTTCTTTTTCTGTCACAATCACTCTCCTGTCTTCAATCGTATGACTAAAAACTATGTAAGATACAATGCCAAGAAAAATAAAAACATATGTTTACTAAATAACTTTTTTTACAAGTCTACGTATTGTCTAAAAAAATTCTTATAGGTTTTAGTCCTATAAGATTTTAAAATGTAAATATTCATATGAGTAACAGATACTTGTTAGATTTTTCTTTACAATAAACCCCGTCCGAAATCTGAACAATAAATGGGTGATAGGAGTCGAAATTCAGTCTATGTCACAAATTGCCACAGAATGGACGATTTCAATCTGTGGATTTCAGAATAAGGAAATTAGTTTGACAATGCCTCTAACTAGGACGTTATAGAGCTGCAGTATCTCACTATGCCTATATCAAGCCCTCGGGTTTACTTGGGCTGTGTAAGCTAGATATAAAGAATGTCTACTGCTAACACATAGGACAACCGTGGTTTCCGTATGTTTGTTGAACAAAGTGGGTTGAGACTTGCGTGTCCCGGTGCGTGGCGCTCGTGGCATTCACCTTGTTGGAGTGTTGCCAAATTTCGCTCGCGTTCGCGCCCGCATCTGATAGTGTTCCTTACCTACTAGCGAGGCGATAACAATCGGTATTACGCAAAACTCACTCATCGCTTACAACCGGTGTCAAGGTATTGGTTTTATGGCAATTATACGTGATCGGTAAATTTTGTGCTTCGGGATTATCCAAATTTTAGAATAACAAAACAATAGTGAGTTTTGATTATTGTTTATTTCGTTCTAATTTGTCATTCTTTAGTTAGACCTAGAGCTAGACCTAGACCAATACCAATTTAATATTACTCTTAAGCAAACTGTACTAAAAAATAAGTCAATGCGTGATTCTTACCTATCATATTGGTAAATAAAAGTCAATTTACCATAATTTGTTTAAGTTTAATTATTGATTTGCAATCAATCATATGGCATTTACAAATAAAGTCCTAAGGAAAAATTTACGCAAAACAAAATGCATATACAGATATATGTGAAAAATCAAAAGAACAGTGTAATAAAATAGACTTCTAGTTCTATTTTTCCAAGCAATATAATATCTGTAGTACGTATGTGTGAATAGCAAAATTCGTCTTAGGTCTAATTATAAAGAAATCATATCATACAATTCAATGCCGTATCACTATTAGTTATAATTAACAAACTTAATAACGTCGTGGAGGTAAATATATTATTATGATGACTATGTGATATATTTACCTCATACGAAATACATTAAATAAAGCACAAAATATCAGAGCGTATTTAGTGGACAAGACACTCAAGTTTAGTGCTTTACGCGGACATTCCTTCAGTATTTATCAAAATTACAGTGCTATTGTATTTATGTAAATGGAACACTGTTTTATATCGCAACTAAAATGTGGATGTACTGACAGCTGAGGTCAAGCGTGTTAAGTGAATGAATTACATATTGACACACAAAAAGATCAAGAATAAGACTGCGGACTACCTGTGAATCAGCTTTATTCAATATTGTAGGTATTTGAAAACATGTTAGTTTACTTTGTACAAGTGGCGTCTTGTCTACGTTTTACGTGAGATTTAGAAAAAGGTGGACTACATTTGCATATTGTGGACTGATTATTGATATTTTGATATTATGCTGTCATTACATTTAACTTTACGTCGTTTATTTATATTATATGTATAAACTAACTTTATATGATTAATATCAAAAATTGACAAGCCGAGGACACACATTTATACGCTTTTATAGTGTATAATTTAAGAAAGAAACATTGAATAAACGATGCGATAGATAACTACTACATATATACAGGTATGTAGATAATATTGTAACACACGGGCTTCATTTAAAATGAATGCTCTCTCGGATATAAAAGCGTACACCGTGACCAATATAAAATATAAAGCTTAGACTCACTGACTTCTAATTTGATAATTACTGACTTCAGACACGCCTATGTGCCCATGTAGAACGCAAAAACCTTCATCGTTGCTTACATATTCATCGACAGTACGCCCACGCTATAATAAAGTTATTTAATTGTTATGAGAAACGTATAAGAATGCAGTGTAACCGAAATCTCTTCTGAGAAACTTGAGAATTTGTCAAAATTAAAATACAAAGGCTTCGCGCGCTCGGGAATTGTAATTAATAAAAAGTGTTGAGAGAAAATAATTGGCCATTGTTGAAAACTCACCATTGACCGTGCGAGTCGTGAGGATCTCTCTCTTAGGATTGAACTCCTCTTGAATGTATGTAACTAGCGTATGCTAATAAGAAAAAGCTCGTCTAATGATAGTAATATATTATATATATATAAGGGGATGATGAGTTCGATGCTTTTTTGTCTAACATTTACAAAATTTATAATTTTTCTGAAACATGTTGGACTTTTTTGGACTGTCTGGGTCATAAACCACCATCCACTGATGAAATAGTCGTGAAGTTTATTTGCGTTTTGTCTAAAATTTGTTGAATTTCAAAGAAAACTTACGTCAACGGTGTGTCTTGTTTAAATGTTAGATCCCCATCTAACATTTAAACGAGACACACCAAGATATTTCACCTTCAAGTCAACGCCATGCAAGTTTTTCTAAAAAAAGTAAGCTGTCCTAGTAAAGTGCCAATAAAATCAAATGAGATTCAAAAAGACAGTAACTGAATTTGTTCTTATTGTAATCAAAAATAGAATGTATACGTCTAATCGTAAGAATGTTTGATTGTTGCAGACTGTTTCTAAGTTACCTTAGTGACACTATCCTATTATAGATATTGATAATTGATTTAAATAATAACTCTTAAGTGAATTATGTATACAATCTAGATCAATCTAGTCGACACAGATATGTGCTCGCCCCAGAACTGTTAACGGGAAGCGGCATATATTGTACTATAATATCACAGACTTAAGGTATCTTAATATCGTAAATACTTATTAAGAATTAAATAATATTATAAAACAAATATGATGGATGAATTTAGTTTTGATATTATGAATTGTGTTCTATTTTCTAATATTTAAAATATTAACGGTATTATACTGTTTTTTTTTCGGAGATTAGTATCTTTTCGTTTCAGATGTTAGAGTTTATGTAGCCCAAAACTTTGGCTCTTCTACGAGACCTGTTCTAACTGGATTGTAGATCTTTTACCATTAAAGAATGGAGGCACACCGATGGCCCCGAATGATTCAACTAGGGCGATTTTCTGTCGGAAGTTAGCAAATTATCACTGGCTCGTAAAATTAACGCTTCTTATCGATCCAGAAATAATTTGAGAATTACACTCTGCGTACGATTCTGTTCAGTTTGATCAATGCGCAGAGATCAAAATCCTTTGAGGAGCAGCAGTCGGCAGTCTTAAACTTATTTAAAACGTAACAAAATGTTTTCAATTTTATTGCTGATTTTATGTTGAATTCTTTAAACGTGTATGGCGGTGTGCGTGAGCGCGAACCGTTTTCACACAGTAGTGACCTTTATATCGAAGGTGTTAGATTGTAAAATTGGGAGCACGTTGGATAGAATCTGAAATTTGCCTGCTGGAAGTGGCAGTTTCAAGATAAGATCTCACGATGCCGCAATAAAAAGCGCTCGTTGCTCGTCCGTTGTGTAATGCGCATTCAAATTGCATTGTGCGAGAACTAATTCGCTTTAGGCCGATTCACATGTTACGATAAACACATGTTCCGATTAAGACGACCAGCACCTCATTGTTCCAAAAGCTTTCGTATTGGAGACAATAACAGGTGTCCTATTTTTTTATGATAGAGTACGAAAGAGAAGCACTGGGGTTCACTTGTTAGGAAATTTCATACCTCAGCCATGTAATATCAAAAGCTCTAAACAATACACTGTCGACCTAGTTTGACTTTGGTTATTCGAAACCACACTCTGAAACAGAATTGCGAGTAAACGGTTTTTTCATTCAAAAGTCGGTTCTCAACCCGACGTAACCGATCGAGTGGCTACTAGACGAAATTGTTTTAGAATTATTAAGCTCTTTTCAGAGTACCGACCTACTGCAAATCTTGAATAACTTAGGACTATACTTTTGAGCGCTATCTACGCACCTATACGGCAACGCATCTTTAAGACTTATATCAGATGGTAAGGATGATTTTGGGGAAAATCACTTTACATTACCGTTTGCGTGTAGTGTACGAAAAAAAGCATCATTGATACCGCAGATGTATAGCGATATTTTTCCTACAAGCGATAGTGTCTGTCCCAAAAAAATCGCTTTACTTGTTTCTCGTTTTGTTCGATTTTTAAACATCTGTACAAATATCTATAGATATAAAACTTTACGTGAAGGACATTAGATTTAGATAACGAAACGAAAACCAATAAACAATAGTTTTTTTTTACATATTCTATTGTTTCAAATAACCTAGGACGTATCGTTTTAGTAGGGAGAACAAATAATAATAGGTTCCAGCTGACATATTGAACGTTGAGACACGTTATATCTAGATAAGCACATGACAAAAGCTATTGTTCTGTAGAGCAATTACTCGCGGCTCGCGAATTACCTAAGCCTCATAATATAAATTAACCGACGGCAAACAGCGGAAAGATTTCTCTAGTTATACGCCAACACAACAATTATTCGTAAATCACTTTACTATATGTTGAAATTTACGAGAGCGCGCTCGCCGAAGCGCCGAGCGGTTCTTTAAAG